AAATGAGGCAATAAAATAGAACGGAGCAATGATCGTCGGCATAGTCTTCTATTGAAATTTTTTTCTTTGCATGCTTAATGCGGAACGGTTCACAGGTCATCTGACTGTGTAAACAAATCAGCTGACCAGGTTAATCGTTATGGGACCAAACAACGAAGTGGCTACGAAAAATGTCTTCAGCGTGCAGAAATTCCAGCAGGTACAGATGTGTTTAGAATATAATGTTTTTCTCGTAGCTGCTTTACCTGTCTGAAAAAAAAAACGTTTCCTATCCATTTTACTTTTATTCTGCGATGACTACAATGACATGAGAAACAAGCATAAATTCTCTAAATAAATTGATGAAAATGACTGTAAGAACTCAATCGAAAACAACGAAAAATTTTCCATATATGTCAAGTTGAGAAAATCTGTCCAAATCATATGTAGCAAATTTTTTGAACTGAAATTCAATATTTTAAAGCATCCACCATGTATCAGGTATTATTTATTTTCATTACGGATTATGTTTCTATGAAAATGTAGTTAAAATCCAACGATTGACGTCAACGATTGACATCGTTGGCGCTCCAAGTATGAACGCGTTCAAGAACAGACTAGACAAAGCTATGGAAAAATATATGTTCAGATTTGAAATGCCTAGCACCACATCGAACCCGGTGGAAGTCTAGTAGCAACTTGAAACTATCGTCAGTCATAAAAAGATCCGGTCAATTGAAACGATATTAGATCTTCTGTGAACAAGGCACGAAAAGGAAAAGAATTCGGCGACAGGCCACATCAGTCCTACACTTCAGCGCCGAGATCACTATGTTATGTTATGATTGACCGACCAGCAAGTTAAGTTATCTGCATAGCATCAATCAGCTAGAGAATCTGTGTGGTGCGAACTTTCTCTGAAAGACAGGGATAACCTCCTCATAGGGGTCATGTATAGGTCATCTAAACGTTCCTCTGATAATGATAACCCTTCAGGGGGGACTTCTGACGTGTGTCTATGCTCGTCAGAAGTCCTATGGGATTTCGCGCTCCTAGGGGGATTGTTCCTGAGCGCCCCACCGCTGAGCTCGCGGTGTCTGACCGTTGGTCTCAGTTGTGGGGTTAAGTTATTTAAGTATGTATTTCGGACGTAACAGTTCCAGGCCACTCTGGAGCGTCACCTCTGTTTCCCGAGGTCCGCAGGCTTGTCTTCCTCGCCGCCGAGACCCAGAGGGTCAGTCTGCAATAATCACGCATCTGCCCTGAACTGGGCGCGAGTTGTTACAATCGTTAAACAATCTCGGTCCCGCCCCGGAAAAAGATCCTTCCCGCAGCGATTGTAATCGGAACGCAGCTTTTTGTGTAATGGGGGTATCCTGTGCAGTCTCCCCCATCCCACGATTTTATATATCACAATCCCGAAGGTTTCGATTTCAAAGTTGTTAGGTGACAGTTGTGACAATTTTCCAGGTGTACAGAATCAAATAGCTTTTTCGTCTCATCTGCAGTAAGTACAAATACAGGAGCTCCAGCCTGTCCTGTAGTTCAGCTTCACCATACCGCTTCTCCCAGGCCTGAAGGTTCGCTTGACCGCTTCCAATTGTCGCATTGCACCCATCGTGAATGGGGTCAATAGCTGGCAGCAGTACTCAAGAAGAAGACAAATTCTCTGATGAGTGTTAGAATCGGTTCCGCTTCTCTTGTTCTGAACGTCCACCAGATCAACCCCATCTGCCGCCTGCCTCTCGCAGTTATTGCCAATATATGATTGCCAAGCTAGACAAGAGTACACATAAACACTCCAAGCTCGGGAACATTAAGTTGCTTCTCTTCGATTTCCGTTCCGTCAGGTGCCAGGTAGCGGTGATCCATCCCTGCTCTTCCGCCACCTCTGTGTCTCATAACCATCATATCAACATAGTAATCAACGTCACATTGTGTCAATGTCACATAGTGCCCCCACGTCATTAGTGGTTAACACTATGGTCATCGGTTAAAATTTAGAGTATCAAGATTGGAGCAGAGAGGTGCGGGTTCGATCCCAGCTCTGTGCGCCAGTTTCTGGTCAGAATCGGCGAGGAGGCCGGGCGGTTAAGCACAGCAGAATTGTAGCAGTGGGTTGCGAGTTCGAGACCGCAAAATGCTGTGAATGTTCTGCGATGTTAAGAATCGGCGACAGGCCTATGGCCTAATAAACGCTGAAACCTCTATTATTATTATAATTATATTATTATTATTACCACCATAACTTTCCGGTTATCCGCACAGTGTTACAGTTACAAGCACCACAGTTACCATCACCACGTCACAATTACCACGTCTGTTGCCACGTCACAGTTACCACATCACAGTTACCAGTTACCACATCACAGTTACCACATCACAGTAACCATATCGCAGTTACCACATCACAGTTACCACATCACAGTTACCACATCACAGTTACCACATCACAGTTACCACGCCGGTTACCAGCGCTACTTTATGTTGCCTGTCGCTGAGGCCCTGTAGGCAGGTGGCCACGAGGTTGCCTCTGGGCGGCGGGGCTAGGATCGCAGGACTCCTTAGGATGTGATCCTTCCCCACGAGGCTGCTGCACCACCTGGGGGGTGGTATATAACACTAGGCTAGTGCTAGGCTAGTGCTAGGCGAGTGCTAGGTTAGTGCTAGGCTAACGCTGGGCTAGTGCTGGGCTAGTGCTGGGCTAGTGCTAGTTGGACTACAAGCGACATTCTGCGGTTGGAACCAAACTTCATTGATCTATTTTTTTTTAATTGCAACATCCAATCGTTCAGTCATCAAAATATTTTTCAATTATCCACATTTCTCTGGGTTGAATTACCTACACAGATTTTGAGTTGCTTAGTTAATTATTTGATACATATTCAATAAAATAATTAGTAAAACAGTTTGCTGGAGACCCACCTGGCCCTCAGCTGGCAGCGTCTCAGAGCGCCTACTGGGGGACACCTGGGGCATGACATGCACCACTCAGAGACGTGGATGCATCATATTGTCCATATTGTGACACACATTCTGTGCGTATCTCTGTCTGGGACACCTGGGGCATGACATGCACCACTCAGAGACGTGGATGCATCATATTGTCCATATTGTGACACACATTCTGTGCGTATCACTGTTAGAAAAAAACGGTGAAAAAACGGTCCCACCGGCGTTCTAGTGGCCGGTCGCTCCGTGAAAATAAACTGTTTCGCCGTTTTTATCAGATATTTTACGGATTTCTAGTGTTAAATTAGAATAAAAACGGCGACACGGTGTTTCTTTTCACGTGCCGACCGGCCACTGAAACGCCGGTAATACCGTTAACGGTAATTTTT